CCTCATTAAGCAGCACGCCCCCACTGCACTAATTACTCCTATTTATAAGCACCCAGCCTGCCCTCGACGAAGCCCGTTAGCCCTCCTCCTGCAGGAGATGCTCCACATTGCCTGATTCCCCCCCAAATTAATTCAGCAGGGTCCTGGGGGCTGCGTTGCGTTGATCTTGGTGGCGAAAAGCGGGGTGCACGAGGGTTTAGGAGCCCCCCACGGGTGTTCCCGCTGCTGGGTGAAAACAGAAAAGTCTTTTTGCTCCCCCACCAGCTCCTGGGGCTGCACTCGCTGCCTGGCAGAGAGGGAAAGCTGCTCTGAGCTCTGTTAACACCTTCCCTGTAATTCCACATGGCAGCGCTCAGCGCGCTCCCTGCACCTGCAGCCAGCTGTGCCAAGGTGCCTACGGGCGGCTCGGGCTCACACCGACCGAAATCGGCCTGAAAAGGGCAGGCCAGGCCTGGGATGGGAAGGGAAAGGAAAAAAAAATCATTTGTCTGCTGCTCGAGCATAAATCCAGCCAGGGGAGGCTGCTCAGGGGGACCTTGGGAGCCGCTGGCATCCCTCGCTGCAGGGGGCTGAGCAGTGGGAGCTGCTTCACGGCTGGCTGGTGGGGCAGCGGGCTCCTCGCCAGCCTGGGAATTAAATCCGAAATCCTCCTGATTGTGCTCCGTGGGTACCAAGGCTTGGGGCAGCTTGCTGCATGGCCGGCATCCCCCTGGGGTCACCAGCATCCCCATTGGGCCACCAGCATCCTCCTGGGGTCTCCAGCAATCTCCATGGTGTTTCCAGCATCCCTGTGGGGTCTCCAGCATCCTTTTGGGGCTGCCAGCATCCCCATGGGGACACCAGCATCCCACTGGGGTCTCCAGCATCCTCCTGGGGCCACCAGCATCCCACTGGGGTCTCCAGCATCCTTTTGGGAACACCAGCATCCCCCTGGGGCCACCAGCACCCCTGCCCTTCATGCAGAGCCACCTGGAGGATGCTAGCACAAACGCACGGGGTCTTTTTCAGCGGTGAGCAGGCGACGGGGTCCCCTCCTGTCCCCAAACCACACCACTGCCACCAGCTCGCCCCGAGCACGTCCCCTGCCCCGTGTCCCCAAGCACTCCCCGGCGAGGCGGCGCAGCGGCGCATTGCTCATTCCCGCGGCACGCCGGAGCCATCTGGATGGTGTTGGCCCTTCTGCCACGCCACCGAGGATCGTTAACACAAAGCATATGCTTTGTTTGAAATTAATAATAATTCGAGGCTCTCGCCAGCTGCTGGTAATTGGCTCCCCTTTCGCAGAGATAAACCGAGAGCAGCAGGGTGGAAATTCAGCCACTTCCCGGCTCCTTTTCTAATGAGATGAGCGAACGTCCCCGGGAAAGGTGTCCCTTCTGCTGGGGACACCGTGACACCAGCCAGGTGATGGCCTTTAATTACGGGCTACACACACCCCAGGTGCGGGGTCCCACACCGTGGCTGCCCCAAAACCCGGGGGTCCAGCAGAGCCCTGCAGCCCCCCTCTTGGAGCCCAGCAGGGGCAGGTTTGGGGAGCTCGTTTGCTGCCTAATTACTGCCGTCAGCAGCGGATGAGCGCAGGGGGTGTATTTTTATCTCTCCTTGCCTCGGCAGCAGTCTGGGCAGGTGGGTGTCGGGAGGTTGGCGGGGATATTTATGTTGCAGCCCTGACAAAATCCGCCTGCGGGGGCTCTGTAAAACACACCGAGCGTTATTTTGCTCAGCCAGAGTGCACCGAGGGGAAGGGAAGGCGCTGAGCGCGTCCACCGCTTGGATACGGGCAGGAGTTGGGGATCCAGATTGGATCCAGGCTTTTAAATTCAAGCCAGGGACGTGGATGTAATGGGGAGGATGTGCAGCAGGGGGGATCTGCTCCCCAAAATCCCCTCGCTTTGCTTTGCGGAGTGATGGAGAGGAGCAAGGCGCACCCGGTGCGTGGGTGCTCTCCATCCAGGGCACCCTTCCTGCCCACCCCACAGCACAAACAGGCATCATTAGGGTCCAGCTGGTTAATGGGACACCCAAAATGAAGGTGTAGGAGTAGGGTGTGATACCCAAAGACCCTAAAGCCTCTCCCAGGCTCCATTCTGATGCAGCTCACTGGGATTACTGGGCCCTGCACCGCCTCGTGTCCTCGCTGGATGCGATGCGCCGCTCCCGGCCACAGCTTTGGGATTTTGGGTTTTTCCCCAAAGCTGTCGGTCCAAATACCACCAGATGGGCAGGAGGCAAAGCAGCTCCGCCCAGGAATTCAACCCTACTGATAGCAGGCGTTTGTAGGGTCGTGCCCTTGCCCTGTTTGCCCACATCTCGGCCAAAATCGCCCCGGATCGATGAGGGTCGGCCGAGCGCAGCGCCCCGGAGCTGCGCCGTGGCCGGCAGAGGCCACGGGATCAATGCGGAGTGAAGGAAATACGGCTGAGGACAGGCGGCTTTTACGGCTTCCTCCCCAAGAAAGGCTCGTTTTTATAGACTTCTGGTAATTGCCAATTAATTTCGCCGAGGCCAAGGGCAGGAAGGCAGCCCAGCTCTTCCAGAGCACCCGTGCCGTGGTGGGCGAGCGCAGAACAGCCTCTTTGCCCTCTTATTTTTCCCTGCTGGACATGATGGAGCTTGGTTTGTGCCCAACCCCTGAGGCTTTCCAACCAGTCTCTCTTCTTCCTGAGCTAATTTCCCCCGTGGATGTGCCCAGAGGTGAGCAGGGAAGAAAATCCAAATGGGATTGAGCTAGGGGACTGGCTGTGGCTCCACTTTCCATACCCAAAATCTGGCTTCTCCCCCCTGCACCTTCCACCCGTTCCCCTCATTCCCCATCCCAAGGACGTGGCTGGGAGCCTCGGCGCTCCAGAACCGAGACAGGCGGAGAGAATCCAGAGCCTCTCAATTAGGCAATTTTTCTGAATGAAGGGCCCTGCTCCGCCCTGCCCGGGGAAGGTGATTGACATAAATCCGCGGGCTGATTAGGGGCTTGTCATTTAGCACCTCTAATGCCTCCCCTCTAATAGCATTAGGGCCCTCCTCGGCGAGACGCTAATGCAGTTTGCAGCTGCACCGTGGCGCCTGGGATTCAGCCGGCCAGCGGCGAGCTCGCTGCAGGAGGAGCAGGGCCCTGATGTGAGCAGGCAGCTGGGGAAAAAAGGAGCTGCCTTGGCGAGGTGCCCCGAGCACCCCTACACCTCCCTGGGGGTTCAGGTGCAGGAGGTGGCAGCACCCACCCGAGCCTTGCACCCAGGAGCAGCAGCATCTCCTGGATGTGGGCAGCACCCCCAACCCGCTCTAATTTCTTTATTTTTTTTCCTTATTTTCTCATTTCCCCATCCCCAAGTGCCCAGTACCCATTTTCCGTCCCTCTGCCCATCCAAGCCTTGCCCAGCTGAGCCCTGGCACCCTCCCTGCTTTGTCCCCACGGGGCTGTGTCCCCAGTCTGTGCCATGGGACACCCGAAATGAAGGTGTAGGAGTAGGGTGCGATATCCAAAGACCCTAAAGACTCTCCCTGGCTCCGCTCTGATTTGGGTTTGGTTTGGTTTGGATTTGGGTTTGGGTTTGGGTTTGGTTTGGGTTTCCCTTCCCACCCCTCCGGCTAGGAGCAGGGCCGGGGCATTTGCTGGAGGAAGCGCCCCTGAAAGCTCCGAACAAATCTCTGTTTTGATTAGCTGTGCTCCTAAATGATTTATAATCAGCATAATACAATAACGACAATGACTCCCTAATCAGATTAAACCGCTCTCCATTTGTCTGGGGCTTTGCGCTGTAATCTCTTCCTCCTCTCCCTGCCATCGATTTTTGTTTCCTCGGCTCGAGTTGTGCCCAGCCCCACGCTGAGGGGTTTTCCAGCCTCTGCATCCTTGCCTGGACTTCGTATTCCAGCACACATCCCCTTTTCCACCCTAAAACCTCATTTTAGGGGAAAAAGGAGCCTGGAGACGTTGGGGAAGCCAAGCTGAAGGTGTTGGGGCGGCCGAACACCGCGGGCTTCACCCTGGCCGTGCCATGAAATTTGATTAATGTGAGTCCCTCGTTAGCCTGGCTGGCACAGTACAAACCTCGTTAGAGCCCCAGGATCTTTAAGTGAGGTCCGGAAGGTGTTCCCACTTCTCCCCTTAATGAAGAAAAATCGCAGCGGAGGCGGCCGGAGGGAGCGCGCGGCGTGCGCCGGGGTGGCAGCGGGGAGCGGAAGCCAGGCTGGAGGAGAGCGAGGAGTGAGGGCTGTGTTAACACTGATTAATAATAAATAACCGCCGTAATGAGCCCTAATTAATAATAGCACATGCTTAAGGAATTGATTCCTGGCGCATGGCAGAATGCCGTTACAAGTCCCTGGTGCTCCGGCGGCGCCGCCGGTGCGGTGAGCGGCTGGGATCGCCCAGGGATGCAGGATGAGGGGATGGGAACGGGATGGGGACTGGGATCATCCCTCACCGCCACAGGAACAGCCCCAAAAAGGATGGGGAAAAGCCCAGGGAGCATCACAATGCGTCCTGCTGCCTCCTGAACCCATCAGCAGCCAGCAGCGGTGCCACCGCCAGCATGTCCAGGGCACGGCGGTCCCCAAATGCTCAGATGTCACCTGGGACGGGCTGTGGGAGCCACGTTTATGGGAAGTCAGCTCCATGGGGAGACACATTTATGGGATGTCAGAGCCAGGTGACAGCCGGGGAGAGAAGCCAGCACCAAACTCTGTGCTGCTTCGCCCTCTTCCTTGATCCGATATTCAGTCGCTGCACAAGCACGGCTAAAGATTTTGTTGTTATTTTAATTTTCTAGCTTTAATTTTAGGCAAATTTGTGCAGGAGCATCCCTGTGCCCTGCCCATGGGGCAGCTGAGCCCGCTGCTGCGTGCCGAGGGGAGCGTGGCTGCCGGTGACCCGGTGGTTTCCCAGCCCCTCCAATTCACGGCGTGATAGATAGATTGATACGGAGCTTTAATCAGTGTAATATATAAAGCACTTAATTTGCCTTATTAAAAGTCTGCACTTTGGATTTTCAGGATCCAGGAAATTAACTCAAGCACCTCACCATTTATTTGATTGAAAGAGATCATAAATAATTCATGCCTTTCCTTCGCCTCCACTGGAAGACCTGCCGGGTGGCGGCGAAGGCGCTCCCAGCACCGCCGGCACCTCCCGAGGCCCCTCCGTCACCGTGTCCCCATGCAACTTGTCTCACCCCACGCTCCCTGGAGCTGCCCTCTTGCACCAGTTTGGGGTGCAGCGCCCCGTCCCCATACATCCTTTCCAGGGGTCCCTGTGCCCCTTGGGGCTGGGGGCTGCACACGGAGGTGCCAGGCACGGTGTGGCCAGCTCCCAAAGCAGCGGTGCGAGCGGCGCGTGAAGCCAGCTGCCTCCCCAAACCACCTCCTCTTCCCCTCCCTGTGAACCCTTTAGGGCTGTGCATGATGGGGAGGTCACAACGGAGCCGTCACCCCCCAGGAGCTCATTTCTGTCCCCATCTCACTGCCCCTGAACTCCCAGCTCTGGCCAGCAACGCACCAGGAAAGCTGCACGCCGCGGGGCGGCCGGCTGCGGAGAGGTCCTGCTGCTTTTATTAGGAGGATAAATTGCACACGGAGCTGCCGCCGGGAGATAAGCGAGCACAGAGGAAACGGCTGGGGTGGGCAGGGGCAGGTAGGGCCAGCGCCTCTCCTTGGGGCTCGACGTCTCTGCCAAGGGCACCCCTGGGGCTGGAGGTGGCCGGCAGCGGGAGCAGATTGATCCGGGGCAGGGCAGCTGCAGGAGGGGCTCATCCTGGTGGTCCTGCTGCACGGGACAGAGAGGAGCCAGCCACTAAAATCACCCTGACCATAAAGCTGAGCGTTTCATCTATAATTCAGAGGAGCTGGAAAGTGGCTCTACGCGAGATAAAACCCGGCTGAGAGAGTGGAAATTTATGCCACCGTTTGTTTTTTTTTTTTGCTGAGCTGGGACGCGGCGCGACCTTCGGAGAGGTGCTGAGGGTGGGGGCAGCAGGATGGGGTGCTGAGCGTGACCACGGCCCTGTCCCAGCGAGGGCTGGGCGTGCTGACGTCCCCAAAAAGTGCACAGGAACCTGCACCTGGGGGTGTTTGCAGGGAGAGGGCTGGAAACGTTGCACGGCGGGGGTGCAACATCCAGCGGGGTGCATGGGGATGTGAATCAGGGAGCCCTTGTGGGGTGGGGTGGGGGGCTCTGGAGAGGGCAATATGGGGTGGGGAGGGGTCTCTGGAGTGTGCAAAGCCACCTAGTTCTTATAGGGTGGGGTGTGCACCCCTGGAGTGTGCAATTTGGGGTGGGGAGGGAGTCCCTGGAGTGTGCAAAGCCACCTAGCTCTTATAGGGTGGGGTGTGCACCCCGAGGCTGTGCCCCACCAGCCAGTCCTTATGGTGTGGGTTGTGCACCCCCGGTTTGTGCACGGCCAGCCCCGTGGTGCAGGATGGGCACCCTTCGGTCCATATTTTGCCATCCAGCCCCCAAGGCACGGGACATGCACCCCTGGGACCACCCTTTGCCCCCCACCCCTCGCAGCACCCCCTGCTCATCCCTGCGCCGTGCGCCACCAGCCAGCCCCGGGGCGCACGGGGCCGGGGGGGGGGCGTCCCGAGGTCCTGCCAGGGGAGCAGGGCAGGGTTTGGGGCGCGATGTGCCGGAGCAGGATGCACCCTTGGAAGCTGCGGGGGGGGCGCTGGCAAAACCCCAGCCCCATTTTTTTGCCCGTACCACGGGCGGACACTGCCCTCCAGCGGGCTTCTCCCGGCCGCAGCTGGCCAGATGCGCACGGCTCTCGGGGGTGGGGAGGGACACCCAGCGCTCCCCCGGCCCTCCCCCAACCCCTGCCCCGGCTCTGCCCCCCCTCACTGCTGGTTCCTTTTCTTGGCAAACTGGAGGACCACGTTGTCGTACTCGGTGTCCCCGAGCCACTCCTTGCCCTGCGCCACGAAGGGTTGCCGGAGCGGGACGGCACGCTTGGGCACGGCGTAGTCGTCCCGCTGCGGGTTGTAGGGGTACTCGTGGCCCGAGGGCTCCTCCGGGGCCGCCTGCAGCCTCCACGCCTCCCCCTTCACCTCCTCGGGCTCGTCGTAGACGGTGTGGGCGCACAGCCCCTCGGGCTCATCGTAGATGTGCTCGGCCTTGGGGACGGAGGCGCGGGGCAGCGGGGGCCGCGCGCTCGCCTCGTGGATGCTGTCGTAGAGCGGGTCCGGAGCCTCCTCGGGGCCACGGAGCATGGCACCGAGCTGCCTGCCCAGCAGGGACTTGGCGATGGTGTCGAAGGGCACGGCGTATTCGGATTCAGCCCCTGCTTTAGCCGGAGCATCCTGCCTCCTGCCCTTCTCCGGTACCTTCCCGGCACCACCCCGCTGGAGCGAGTTGCAGGGCTCGGCGTAGAGGCACTTGGCGGTGCCGCCGTCGCCACCGGGCTCCTCGTGGCCCTGCGTCCAGTTGGGCACCTTGGTTTGGGCGCGTGGCCGCGAGCCATCGTCCCCGGGGATGCCCCAGCGCTGCTCCTCGGCGCCCCGGCCCCGCTGCGCCTCGATGGCCGACTCGATCACCTGGAAGATCTCGTTGCCTTGCCGCGTCTCGAACTCAAAGTTGCCCTCGCCGGAGGCGCAGCGCCGGCCGGCCTCGAAGGAGAAGGTCACCTACAGAGGGGACAGCATCAGGTCCCTGTGATGGCCCCACCACCACCTCCAGCCCGCCCTCCCGGTGTCCCCAGTACCTTGTCCCGGCCGAAGCGCCGCAGGAAGCGGTAGGGCCAGCTGTAGAGGATTTCCCCCGCCTGCAGATCCCGCAGCTCCAAGGCTTCCTCCCCTGCTCGCAGAACGAACCGGCCCCAGAGGCGGCAGCGCTCGGAGGACTCGGTGGCCCTCACCGTCACCTCGAACTCCTTCCCCAAGCCAGCTGAGGACAGAGGAAGGTGACATTTGCGGGGATCAGAGCCCCAAAACGCCCACCCCGAGCCGAGCTGGGGGACGAGGAGGGGGGGGAAGCGGTGTCCGGCCGATAAGGGCTGGAGCCCCGCGGGAGGAGCGCGATAGCGCGGCGAAACCCAACCAAACCGCAGGGCAGGAAGAGCGCACGGAGGCTATTTTTGCCCCAAGCCTCCCAGCACGGCGCTGCGGGGGCGGCTGCTCGCCCACGAGAAGCAGCCCCGGGTGTCGAAAGCCGCCCCCTCCCCGCTCGCAGGCGCCCACCTTTGTCCCGGGAGCTGTAGAGGGAGTTTTCCTCCATGGAGAACTCGCCCTCGGCGCGCAGCGAGCCCTGCTGCCCGTCCTTCCCCGCTGCCTGCTCCTCCCTGCTCCTCTGCCCAAAAAGAGCCGGGGGTGACCCTCAGCTCCGCCAGCCCCGCAGCAGCTCGGGGTTTCCCCCGTGGATCCGGCATCTCCCACCCCATGGTTATCAGCCCCATAGGGTCTCCCTCCCCATAGGATCATCCACCCCATGGTTATCCCCCCCAGTGTCTCCCACCCCATGGCTATCCCACCCAAATGGTCTCCACCCCATAGAGTCTCCCTCCCCATAGGGTCTCCCTCCCCATAGGGTCTCCAACCCCATGGTTATGCCCCCCATAGGGTTTCCCTCCCCATAGGGTCTCCCCCCTATAGGGTCTCCCTCCCAACAGGGTCTCCCTCCCCATAAGGTCTCCCACCCCATGGCTATCCCACCCATAGGGTCACCCTCCCCATAGGTCTCTCCCACCCAGGGACTCCTTCCCCATAGGGTCTCCCCCCTACAGGGTCTCCCCCCTATAGGATCTCCCTCCTAACAGGGTCTCCCTCCCCATAAGGTCTCCCACCCATAGGGTCTCCCTCCCCATAGGGTCTCCCCCTATAGGGTCTCCATCCCCATAGTATCTCCCACCCCATGGTTATCCCACCCAAAGGTTCTCTCCCCTATAGGATCTCCCTCCCCATATGCTCTCCCCACAGTCTCCCCCACCCCATAGCCATCCCCCCCACACTATCTCCCCCCCGGTAGGCTCCCCCCTTGACTTTTTGGGGCCAGGCTCACCGGGAAGGCGAGCTCGCAGAGCCTCAGCACCCAGCCGGCCGTCTCGGAGCTGTCAGCAGCCAGCAGGTAACGCTTGTCGGTGGTCTCCAGCAGGAAGGGGACGGTGTCTTTGGGGCAGCCCCCGGGGTCCCCGCTCGCCTCCGCCACGTGCACGCAGTCGCTCAGCTTCACCAGCCGCCGGCTGCCCTCGCCCCTCCGCAGCTTCTCGGCCGCCGGCGGCGCCGAGCCCTCGAAAAGCTCCAGGCGGGCGGTGGAGCAGGAGCTTTCCCGGTATAAAACGCCCCAAAATTTCTTCCATTTCTGCCCCCCGGGAGAAGCGAGGGAAAGGAGGGAAAGGCCGGCGTTAGCCTGAGCTGTTTGCGCCCTCCCGGTTGTTGTCCCTTTGGGTTTTTGCCCTCGCCAAAGTGCCCAGGTGGGACCTGGGGGGGTTAAATAGGGCAAGGGAGGGTTTAAATTCTGGCACCGAGCACAGGCAGCAGCACGGGGGGAGCCGTGTGCCCTGCTGCAAAGAGGAACCGCTCAGCATCATCCTGCCTGGGAGGGGGAATGAAGCATGGGGACCCCCCCACCACGCCATCCCCCTGCCCTGGGGGATCTGCCCTACACCTGCCCCCACCCCACAGCGCCCGAGATCCACGCCAAGACCCCCCCAGGGGACCTCCAGCTCCTCGTTTATCCCCTGCTCCTAAAAACCACCCAGCTCAGGAGGAAGTTTCACACCAAAATCAGCATGGGCTGCAAGGGGAACCTGCGGGGCCCGGCAGTTTTTGGCCAGCACCATTTTTTGGGGCGTGTTTGTGGGGTTAAGCCCGGCCTCCCCTCTACCTCTTCCCCATCCTCTGCAGCCGGTGGCTGCTGCCTTGCCGCCGATGTTATCTGCTCCCCTGCTCTGCTCCGCTCCGCAGCACCTCCAGGATGATGGGGACCAATTTGCTCCAAATTGACCCCATTTTCTCAGCACCCCCATGGCCGGCACCGCGAGGGACCCCACATGGGGTGCACTGGGTGCTCGAGCACGGCCCCGGAGAGCCGGGTTTGGTTCTCCCTCTTCCCTCTTTTTCGTCAACCCGGAGCCGCCCAGGAGAATCCTTCCCCTTCTTGCTCAAGAGCTGTGGCCAGGGGTTGCCAAGCCCCGGGGTGTTATCAGCCGGCCGGGGTGGTTGCATCAGTTTGTGCCCAGCTCCTGGGGGGGCTGGTGGCCCCTTTGCGCCCCGTCCCCATCTCTTTGGATCCCCCCCAGCTCGTCCCCGCAGCCCATGGAGCCGAAGGATGCTCAGGGAGTTGGTTTGGGGAAGGTCCCACGTCTCCAAATCGCCTTCGCGTGCCCCAAATCACCCCCAGCAGCCCTTCCTCCGAGCCCGGGGGGCACAACCAGCCTCCCCATGCCCCAAACCCCCCCCTGATTCACCATACCCCTCACGAGCAAAACCCCAAAACCACACCACGAGGCCACCCAACGCCCAAACCGACGCACCAAGGCCGTTTTCCCCCCCCCGACGCCCCCCACCCCATCCTCACCTTCCCAAAAGTCTGCTGCAGCTGCAGGTAGAGCGCGCCCTGCTTCACCACCGCCTCCTCCATCCTCCAGCCAGGAGCATCCTCCCGCGTTCCCCTCGCACCACCCGGACCCCCCCCAGCACCCCCTTTTTTTTCCTGCGTGCTGGTGTCCCCCCCGTGCGCCCCTGCCCGCCGGCGGCCTCGCCGTGCGCCGCTGTGACGTGCGCTCGGCGGCTTCTGTTTCCTCCCCGTGCTCAGCTCGCGCCCCGGTTTCCTGTGCCGCCGACGTTACCATAAAGGGCAGCCACCAGAGCAGCTTCGGGGACGGCCCCGAGCGTGTCACCGAGCTGCTGACGGCGTGGGGTGAGGTTTGGGGACGGGCTGCAAGGCGCTGCCGGTGGTCCTGCAGTTCCCCGGCCCCGCGGGAGAAGGATTTCCGTGGGATTCGCGTCCTTGCCTCAGTTTTGCCGGCTGTAAAATGGGCCCAAAAGCACCTCTGCGCCCCCCAAAGTCAGGGGTTTTTTCCCCAAAAAAGCCGGTTGGGTTTTTACACCTCTGCTGCAGGCAGGGTGGGAAGTGGCTCGGGTTTTGCAGGCACCTGGTCCCGCTCAGCGGTACGTGCAGGGGATCCCTTGGTACCTGTAGGGGATCCCTGGGTACCTGTAGGGGATCCCTGGGTACCTGTAGGGGATCCCTTGGTGCACGCAGAGCACTGCTGCTCTTGGTGCATGCAGGGGATCCCTTGGAGCATGCAAAGCACTGGATCCCTCGGTGCATGCAGGGGATCTTTGCATGCATGCAAAGCACTGGATCGCTTGGTACATGCAGGGGATCCCTCGGTGCATGCAAAGCACTGGATCCCTCAGTGCACACAGGGGATCCTTTGGACCTTTGGAGCATGCAAAGCACTGGATCCCTTGGTGCATGTAGGGGATCCCTTGGTACATGCAGAGCATTGGATCCTTCAGTACATGCAAGGGATCTCTCAGTGCATGCAAAGCACTGGATCCCTTGGTGCACACAGGGGATCCCTTGGGGCATGCAGGGGATCCCTCGTGCATTCGGGGGATCCCTCGGTGCATGCAGAGCACTGGATCCCTTGGTACTTGCACTGGATCCCTGGGTGCACGCAGTGGATCCCTCGATGCCCGCCCCCCCCGGTGCCTCCCTCCAGTGCCGCCAGGGGGCGCCCGCGGCCGCCTCCGCCCCGGCCCGCAGCGGGCACAGCCCGGGGGGGTCCCGCTGGGGGCACTGGGAGCACTGGGAGCACTGGGGTGGGGCGGCGGGGCGGGGCCTGCGCTAACTGGGAGCACTGGGAGTGGTGGGGGCTGTGGTGCTGGGACTGCAGGCGCTGGGAGCAGTGGTGTGGGGCACTGGAGGCACTGGGAAGCACTGGGGCTGTGCACTGGGAAGCACTGGGAGCTCTGGTGTTGGACCCTGCAGGCACTGGGAGCACTGGCACTGGGCTCTGGGGGCACTGGGAGCACTGGGGCTGTGTACTGGTGGCACTGGGAGCACTGGTACTGGGCCCTGCGGGCACTGGTGTTCAACTCTGGGGGCACTGGGAGTACTGGGAGGCACTGGTGTTGGGCCCTGGAGGCACTGGGAGCGCTGGGGCTGTGCACTGGGAAGCACTGGGAGCTCTGGTGTTGGGCTCTGGGGACACTGGAAGCACTGGGGCTGTGTACTGGGAACTACTGGGAGCACTGGTACCGGGCCCTAGAGGCACTGGGAGCACTGCTGTTGGGCCCTGTGGGCACTGGTGTTCAACCCTGGGGGCACTGGGAGTACTGGGAGCGCTGGGAGCTCTGGTGTTGAGCACTGGGAGCACTGGGGCTGTGCACTGGTTGTACTGGTGCCACTGGTGCTGTGCACTGGGAGCACTGGTATTGCACCCTGCAGGCACTGGGAGCACTGTGGCTGTATACTGGGCAGCACTGGGAGCTCTGGAGCTGCGCACTGTGCCTGCGCCCCGCTCATACTGGTGTTACTGGTGTTACTGGTCCCACTGCTTCCCTCAGGCCGCGCAGGCCGCGTCCCCTTTAACCCCGCCCCCTCGCTCCGTGACGTCACCCCGCCATCACGGAGGGGGCGTGGCCTCACTCGGCGCGCGCGCGGCGGGCGGGGCGCGGCCGGGGCGGCCGCGCGCATGCGCGGTGGGGCGGGGCGGCGCGCGCATGCGCAGTAGCCCCCGGCGGCGCCGCCGACAAGGAGAGGGGAGGGAGGAGGAGGAGGAGGAGGAGGAGGAGGAAGAAGCAGGGGGCAGGGGCGGGGGGGGGGGAGGAGGAGGAGAAGGCCCGGCGGAGGCGGGGGGGAGCGGAGCATGAATGGCGCAAGATGGCGGACCATGTGCAGGTGAGGGGGGAGGCCCCCGGGGGGCCGCCACGCCTCGGCCCGGCCTCGCTGCTGCCAGGCCTCGGGGCCTGAGGCACGGGGGTAGGCCGCGGCGGGGGGAGGGGGGGGAAAAGGGGGTGGGGGAGGGAAAAAGGGGGGCGAGGATCGCCTCAGGGTCTCGGCAGGATCCCCTCAGCAACAGCCCGGGATCCACTCAGGATCCTCTCAGCGCCCCCGCAGGATTCCCTCAGGATCCCTCCAGGATCCCCTCAGGACCCCCCCAGGATTCCCTCAGAACCCCCTCAGCACCCCCCCAGGTTCCCCTCAATATCCCGTCAGGATCCTCACAGCAGCCCCCCAAGATCCCCGTAGCACCTCGTCAAGATCCCCCCAGGATCCCCACAGCACCCCTCCAGGATTCCCTCAATATCCCGTCAGGATTCCCTTAGCACCCCCCCAGAGCCCCTTCAGGATCCCCTCAGGATCCCCCCAGGATTCTCTCAATATCCCGTCAGGATCCCCACAGCACCCCCCCAAGATCCCCCCAGGATCCCCTCAGCAACCTCCCAGGATCCCCTCAATATCCCGTTCAGATCCTCACAGCACCCCCCCAAGATCCCCTTAGCACCTTGTCAGGACCCCCCCAGGATTCCCCAGAATCCCCCCAGGACCCCCTCAGGATCCCATCAGGATCCCCTTTGCACTCCTCCAGTACTCCCCCAGGATCCCCCCAGGACTCCCCCAGTATCCCCTTAGCACCCCATTACCCCCCCCCCAGCACCCACTCCCCAACCCCATATGGGGGCAGTGGGCACCATGGTGCAGAGGGGCTCACTGCGTTACCCCTATATTTCCCCCCAAATTCTCCAAATTCCCCTCTTTCCCTTTAAAAACCCGCTCTGCTTTTACTAAAACCCCCCAAAACTCATCTGGCTCTCAAAACCCTGCTGCGGGCCTGGCTGAAGCCGCCCTTTAAAAGCCCTGCCTGGCTCTCCGTTAAATATCGGGGTGAGAAACTGGAAGTTTGGGCACCGCCATCGCAGGCTGGCGGCTCCGGGGGGGGGTTAAAATTTAACAGCGGGGGCTCGGGAGATGTTTGGCTCCGAGGGAAAAGTTGTTTGCAGGCCGGGGTCAGGCACCTGCAGCCTGGCACGGTGCCTTCAGCCGGCCGGGCAGAGGTGCAGGGATCGCTCGGCGTCGTGGCTGGGGGTCCTGGGGGTGTTTTTATCCTCTTTTTCTTCTCCCCGCCGCAGGTAAAGGCGCCCAGCAGCAGCTCTGGAGAACCCCCAGGTAGCTGCCGGCAGCCAGGAGAGCGCTAGGTTGGCTTCAGAAGTGCCTCGGGATCGCTGCGTGGCAGGAGGACGCGGGGGTTTTGGTGCTAGGTGCATTTTTTGGGGGAGAAAAGGGCTTTCCGAAGTGGGAAACTCTGCTCATCTTGGCGTGATTTGAGCTAATTAAACCCAGCGTTCGTTTCACAGAGCTGGTGTTGAGTTATCCGGCATCACCTGGAGACGTTGCCCCTCGGTGCGAGCAACCCAGGGCTGCTTTTATGGCACGTGCTGTGAGATTTGGGTCTGTTTTAGGAGGAATCGGGGCTTGCAGGTAAATATTACGGAGTTGAGAAGTTTCCTGCAGTCGTTGAGGGCTTTGCTTGGGTTGTGCGTCCAGTCTGGTCCTTAAAAACTGGAGGTTATGTGAAGTTTGAGGGCCCACGGGTGGTGCTGGTGATACCGTGCGATGCCTGCAAGCTCCTCTTGTAGGGCAGACCGCCCGGTGCTGGGGCAGAGGCAGCAAAAATGGGGCGATTTTGGGTGTCTGGGAGCTCCTCCGGCCTCAAATCGCTGCACGTTTCTTGGAGAAACTCGTCCATTTCTCCACGAACTCACCCGACCTTCTTTTGAATGCATATTTCTGTCAGATCCGGGGCTTGCAAGCGTTGCCTAAACTTGTTCGCTGCAGAGGAGAGCAGAACTAGCTTCGCGGGCGAATATGAATCCTGTTCCCCTTTCCCCTTCTGCCTTGGAAACAGATTTATTTCATTTTTTTTCTCCTTTTCTTGCCTTTTAGATGCTTTCCAGGCGGTTGCCCTGAGACGGGATGTGCTTACGGGGAGTGAATATCCCTGTGGGAGAGTGGGTGCTGTAGGATGGCGATGGGTTCTGTGGCTTTGCGGGTTGAATTTTCCTATTTTTTTGGATTTTTTTTTAAAAATATGTTTTTGTGGCACTTAAAACTCCTTGCCACCTCTGCGTGGCTGCGTGTGCTGCTGGCTCTCTGACTCTAGGATGAAATTAAAGGATTTTGGTGCCCGCGAGAGGTAAAAGGACAGGTACCCAGGTGGGTGCTCAAATAGACAACTGAGAAATCTCCTATCTTAAAGGAAATCACGCTTTTTTTTTCCCCTTCTTTACCTGATTCCAGGCTCAGGTCAAGGTGTTCCAAATCCCGGAGATTTTCACCCAGTTTTCCTTTTTTTTTTTTTAACGAGCTGACAGAAACTTCCGTGCTGGGAGCAGCTCTGGGTGCGTGCAGGTGCTGTGCAGGGGCAGGCTGCCACCAGGAGCTCCCTTACAGCTCCCTCACAGCTCCCTCTTGCAGAAGAAACTCTTTGGAAACCCTGAATTTGCCCCAGAAATGCTCAGGTAGGCACTCCCAGGTCATTTTCCTCCCTCGCACGCTGCTGACAGACAGAAATCGGGCAGCCCACGTGCGAGCACGGCGACTGGGGGAGGTTTCCCAGGGCTCAACAATTGCCCTGCTGCTCCCAGGACTTTCTGAGCCTGCTCCCCAGGATGTTTCACTCCATCCCCAACAGAACCTGCCTTTTTTTTTTTTTTTTTCCTGGTGTTTCTGCCTTCCAAAGGACATTGTGTTGGCTCAAAGGCAAAATCTAATTTGCCTCTCGACATCCGTAACGTTGGGCTCGCTCCGGAGGAAACCCTGGAGGCTGAGATGCGTCTTTCCCATCTGATACCAAGCGAGGGCAAGGTTACAGAGGGAAAAGAGTCACGCTGTGGCCTGCTGCCCACCTGCAAATCGCTCAGAATACTTTTTCGTGCGTTTTAGTTCAAGGTTTTAGGCATTGGAGGCGCTGCGAGCTCTCGCCGAGGACTTGTATTTATCTCAGAATAGCCCAAGGGAGTGCTCCGGGCCTGGGGAGGGTAAAGCACTGCTCTGACACTAAAAATAGAGCTGGCAGCGTTTCTTTTGTAAATCAGGCTCTATTTTTTTTTTTAAACCATGCACTTTTTGAAGCCCTGCTGCTGCTGGGATGCTCTGCAGAGTGGGATCCCGGCTGGAGCGAGGAGATTTGCGGTAGCAGAAGCTCCCTGAAGGGAGCCAAACTTGGAATAGAACAACCCCTTTTTGGCTTTGGGGGCTCCAGTTTTTGCTGCCTGCTGGCTGGAACAATTTTGGGAGGACTCCTCGGTGCCAGGTAAGGCTCTGCTCGCTCTCCTGGTGTGGAGCAGCCCACGTGGGAGCTGCCTTCTCGGTGCCTTTTTGGGGTGAAATCCCAGCCTTCTTCAAACCCCTGAGAGGCTTCGTTGGGTTCAGGGCAGCAGCCCCGTCTCCTCTCCCTGCTCCAGCCGCCCAGAAGATGGTCCGTGTTCGCTCTGATAGGCAGCACTAATGCAATTAGGGAGGATTTGTTCGTTTTAATCATTTAAGAGCTGGCTGGCGGCTCTGTAGCTCAGGAACTTTGGTACTGCTCATAACGCCTGGGCTGGGGGCAGCGCAGTTGGTTCTTGTGAGCCTGGAGGGCTAAAGCAGAGTTTAAAAAGTTGTACTTTTGCTACTTAAATTGCTGGTGAAAACGTAAATTTGTTTTCCTGCGTCTCGGCTGTGGTTTTAAGCAAACATTTAGGAGCACGTGATGCTTTTCTGGGGGTAGGGCTGCGTGGCTTTGCTGCAGGGGGGTGATTTTTGGGAGAGTGAAGTGTTATTGTGGGAGCCAAGCGGGTCTGTGTAAAACCCCAAACGTACCCTGCAACTTCGGGCACCTTCAGAGACAAAATAGACCCTCAGGATCTGCCACTTGTGGAGTTGCTGGTGCTGGTCACACTTAGGATGCGTTAATTCAAATAAAATAACAAAAGGCACTGCTGGAGGCTCACCTGGTGCACTCAGCGCCCTGCTGGGGGCAGAGCTGGGGCTGTTAGCACCGGGATACAAGAGCAGCTCCTCTCCTAAAGCTCTGCTCTCGCCCTTTTCCTTCTTTGGGATCATTCAAACAGCTCGCAGAGCGTATCAGCACGTCTTGCTGCTTGCTACAGGTGGCTGGTTTAAAGAATAAACGTAGAATTGTAGCTGAACTTTGGAAATTAAAGTTTACAGTTCTCCTTTTAACGTAAATTATGCAGGAATACTTCTAGCTGAACTTTGATTTATAAATTTTTACAGTTCTCCCTTTAACATAAATTATCCAGGAATGCTTCTAGCTGAACTTTCAATGTATAAGTTTTTACAGGTCTCCTTTTAACATGCTAAATTATACAGCAATGCTTAACAGGAACAAGAAAACAAGAAGATATTTATGAGAATGGGATGGGCAAACTCTGTCCTTACCTGCCAGTGTCAAGTAAGCACGTTGCGAGTTTGAAAAGCAGCTGGATTTGGTTTCGTGTCTGCTGGAAATGTTGAATTCTGTAAAAGGTGGATTTTTTTTCCCCAAAAAGGTGATGTTCTGAAGGTTTCTCTCCCGATGTGGCAGGTCAGCAGGTAAATCTGTGAGGTTTGTGTCTGTGTAATCAGGCAGGAAGCAATGGGTCAGTTCTTGATCTCATTCTTGGTCTTATTTCATGCCGATTTGATGCAGCACCCGGACTTAGGGTGGGTTTTTAGTAATTGCTTTTTCCTTTAAAGCTGCAGGATTTAAAGTAGCGTGGTTCTGGAGTTATTAAAATGATGTAAAAGACACGGGGCGGTGAAGCATCCCCTGGATGTTTCCGTGCTGCTCGTTGGCATCCTGGCTGTGGCTGGAAGGACTTTGGTTGTGGCTCGGCGTGGAGGAGGGGCTTTAG